AAAGTCTGAATTTTGAGATTAAAGTCAGAATTCTGAGATTAAAGTCAGAATTCTGAGAAAAAAAGTCTGAATTTTGAGATTAAAGTCAGAATTCTGAGATTAAAGTCAGAATTCTGAGAAAAAAAGTCTGAATTTTCAGATTAAAGTCAGAATTCTGAGATTAAAGTCATTATTCTGAGATTAAAGTCAGAATTCTGAGATTAAAGTCAGAATTCTGAGAAAAAAGTCCGAATTCTGTGAAAAAAGTCCGAATTCTGAGAAAAAAAGGTCATGATTCTGAGATTAAAGTCATTATTCTGAGATTAAAGTCAGAATTCTGAGGAAAAAATGTCACAATTCTGTGAAAAAAGTCAGAATTCTGAGATTAAAGTCATTATTCTGAGATTAGTCAGAATTCTGAGGAAAAAATGTCATAATTCTGTGAAAAAAGTCCGAATTCTGTGAAAAAAGTCAGAATTCTGTGAAAAAAAGTCAGAATTCTGAGGAAAAAATGTCACAATTCTAAGATTAAAGTCATAATTCTGAGATTAGTCAATTCTGAGATTAAATCGTAATTCTGAGATTAGTCATAATTTTGAGATTAAAGTCAAAATTCTGTGAACAAAATCAGAATTCTGAAAAAAAGTCAAAATTCTGAGATTAAAGTCATAATTCTGTGAACAAAATCAGAATTCTGAGAAAAAGTCAGAATTCCGAGATTAAAAGCAGAATTCTGACTTCTTCCCAATATTAAACTGAAATATTTAAAAATCAATACTGTTTTGTTTTTTTTTTATTAGTGACCCTAATCCTCCTCTGAATGATGCAGACTGTATTCATGTCATGCAGACTGTGACATGATTTGATAGGACATGGTGGGGGGGGTTTGTCCCTTTGTTTTTTTTCTCCCAACATTCAGTCTGATGGCGGTTGGGAAGAAGCGGTTTAGGAATCTGCTGGTCCTACATTGAATGTTACGAGCAGTTGCCACATCCTTGCTTAGGAAAAGCAGTTTAGCTCCCATGCTCTTGTTTCACTGTGGAGAAATTGTGTCCATGGTGATGTGAGGTGTTATTTTTTTTTAAAACCAAAGGTTTTGCATAGAAGCAAAATAAAATTTTAACCTAATTTGATCCAAGCTCCCTTTTCCACAGACCCATTTGTCTCGTTCTTATTCTTCCATAAAGGACACCTTTGTGTAGTGCATAGTCTGTCTTGGGTTTGCGGATATGCAACGCCGTTGTTGATGCATCACAGCAAAGGTGGATGAACTAAACCTCATTTTATTTTATGTAATAAATTTCGGATACCATAGTTTCTTCTCAGCAGTTTTGCACGATGACGCTCTATCAAAACAAACAAAAAATCCAATTAAAATACATATAAGTTTATGGTGGAGGTATAATGCAGAAGAAACACTTAAAACTCTACTTGTTTTTCTTTTTGGGGCATTGTAACTTTCTTATATCTGGACCAAAACAAAAAACAAAAAAAAAACAGCATTTATTTAATTTAGATTCAAGTTGTCTTAAAATATTAATTACATTAAACTAAACCTGAAGAAAAATGACAAATATAGTATTTTGAATAATGAACAAAATGACCACAAACTGACTGAATGCTAAACATTTTATTTACACCTGTAACACAGATATTACCCTGGTTCCACGTTAGCGTAGATACGAGCTTAAAACATTCATGATAGAAACTTCACATGATGCCAAAGATAATTGCATTTTCTTCATTATAATTAAACAAAATGGTAAATATTGCCACAGGACACATTTATAGTGAACATAGTTTTAGGTAGTGTTAAATACAAGCATAAACTTTAATATTAATAGTTTAAAATATTGGTCCTTGATTTTACTCATTGTTTTTTCTCAACATAACAGACCGACATTATAAGCTTTCTATAAACCTTCATGTCATTCCTTTTGTCTTTGGCCAGAGCGTCCTGAGAATGGGATCTTTTTTCTTTCATTTGTTTCTACCTTCTCAGTCAAAAAAATCTTTTAAAAATTATGGATTTTTGTGAAATTAAAAGCCTAGCCAACAATAAAAATAAAATAAATAAAATACTGCAAATTCAGTGGTGAAGTTTACATACATTAGAGCCCTTCAGTTATCCTGCGTCTGCAGCTGGATCTGTTGCACAAACGTCCCAGCAGTTAAATATACACAGTATCTATACAGTTAAAGTTGGCACCACCGACTCCTTCGATATGCTGAGTATTTTACGAGACACCTCATGGGCATTTGTAGTTGTACGGCAGAGACGCAATCGTGGACGGGTTTAGATCTCGGACTATCTTGTTGAGGCTGGAGATCTTTTCCTCCAATAGGTAGTTCTTCTTTTCTGCAATTTTCTGCCGCTGCTCGGTTATTTCCAGAGCCTTGATCAGCTGAGAGTTCTCCACATACAGGTCTTTGATCAGCACATCTGCTTTGCCATTTCTATGCAGCTGAAAGATTCAAGAGAAATAAAATGAGTCGTGTTTAATGTGCATTTACACTCTGCAATATCTGCTTGTTGCCGATGAAACCATTAATGGTTTATAAGTTACTGAGGTGCAGTAAATGTAGCTTTTTGATGACACATCTACTCAGTTTGCTTTAATAACAGTAACTGACCTGGTCCTTCAGCTGAGAGACCTTCTCTTTCAGCAGCAGCTTCACGTTATGCAGCGAGAGTTCAATTTCTTTCATGCGTTCCTCCATGTTCTTCATCTTCTTCTCCCTTTCATCCTGGTGAAAAGACAGCGAGGTGTGAATGAAAGAAAATACAGATGCAGACACTTTGAGATAAATAAGAATTTTACTTCAAATTGATCTTAGAAAGATGGTTTGAAGAAAACTGAAACACCATACAGACATTTGGATGTATTGGGAGATGGTTGCTTTATTTTAGATGGATTTTTTGCAGAATTCAGGTTTAGGTACAGTTTAAAATATTGTCCCTTAATGAATAAATAAAAATAAATATGATTAAAATAATTCAAAAATAAACCTAAAAAAATAACTTAATACATAAATAAAACGTTAGTGTGAAATAAATACTCAAAAAAAAAAACAAAAACAAAAAACACATTTTAAACATTTGGGGGGAAAAAAGTGACTAATCTCAAAACACAATATGAGAAAAAAAACATATTGGGACAGGATACTAATTAAAAAATAAATATTAGTATAATAAGTTGTGAAATGAAAATGTAAACAGGTTGGTGTTAGAAAAAAATAAATAAAATAAACACATTCATTTTGGTTGTGAAGCAGCAAAAGAAACAGGTCCAGAACACATTAAACTAGGATTTACCAACTTAAAAATGAAAAAATAAATAATAAAACATAAAGTAACAGGCTGGCTGTCCATAATGGTGGGAAAGGAGCCCCAAGGTTTGACCTCTAAGGATTTAAACACGTCACATTTATTAAAAATATAAAAGTGAGTCAATACAAATTTACAAAACAATCAACCAGCATTAAGATTTCCTGATCTCAGCTAAGCTTTGCAAACTTTAGAGGAAGTCGCATCAGTTTGTCAATATTTATAGTGTAAACATTACATTTGGTAAAAAAAAAATAAAAAAAAAATTCAGGTAATAATGCCACTGTACTGTAATCCACTTTCCACCAAATAAAAACAAAATAGCAGGATTATTATTGTCTGCACTTTACTGCCACCTAGCTGCAGAGAAACAACCTGCGGGCCTTTTGAATCATCTGTTCACAGTCTTCCACAAGGATGTGGGAAGCTCACGGTTTCACGTGTATCGCTCTGATTTTATTTGCTCCAAATATCACAGCAGTAGAGGAGAAGGGAAAAGTAAAGCATGGAAGAAGAGGAAGAAGAAGAAGCGGGCATCATAATCCACCGATCCGCCTGAAGATGTCAGCGTGAGCGGCCCGTTGCTCCGGCATCGCCCCCTGGAGAGAAAAGGCAGGAACACTTCACCAGAGGTCTACCCTCTCCTTCAATCCTCAACACACACACACACACACACACACACACACACTAGAACTAACTAGAAACCCGTTCAATTAACTGGAAGTGCATGAAGTGAGCAAAATACGACGAAATTATGAGAAAAGGAGCTTGTAGTAAAGCCACTTATGGGACTCTATACCGATATTCACAGATAAAACTAGCCTTTCAAAAGTAAATATTTGTATCCTATGTTCTATTAAATGCTGCCTTTTTTTTTACTAATACAAATCTGAGAAGTGTGGTGTAAAAATCTGGACACCCTCTTTACAAACTTAAATAAAATCCAGTTCAATCAGTTACCCTAAATAGTAAAAAAAAGGTCCAATAGGGTGTAACTAAACCGCAGTAGAATTACTGGGCTATCCAATGAAAAATGAAGAGATCCACTGGTCAGAGGGGGAGTAGCAAAAAACGAAACACTGCATGTCACCCATTCCCTGAGTCTAACATGGTTAAGGTGGTATCATGTACTCGACCAATCACAGTGCAGGAAGAAGGAGCTTACAATACATCACCATCAGTGCCAAATTACCCATAATGCAGCAGTGCTTTCTCTAGGAATTAAAGTCAAAATAGCACTTGCAGTGGAGTGATGTTATAATGGTGCCTTCATTGTGTCCTGTAAAAGCTGGACTGCAACAACTGGCTGCTCTAAAGGCATTTCTTTTTAAAAGGCATCCCCTCCATAGTCTGCTTGGTTCTAGTTCAGACTGGCTGAAGGGCTGCTGTGCTTCTGGAGCTTTAACAGAGACACTAACGCTGGTCGAACCAGGAGGAAAACCTGTCAAAGCTGCAAAAGACACACGGCTAAAGTTTTCCTTTTAGCAGATTGACAACTTGAAGAATTTACAGCTAAAGCTACCGAACATTAACCTGTTGGAACGGCCTAGTCAAAGTCTAAACATAGATACAGCGGTGGGCAGCTAACAGCTTACACATAAACTAAGTTTGTTTGGTGGATTGCAGTTCGTACTAACTTTGTAAATCTCTACCAGCATATTAAATTCAGCTAAATTAGCCTTTGAAGCCAAATCCACCAGTCAAAGCTCCACGTTTGTCCGCTGACAGCATGTTTTAAATAGAGTCATTTGCCTGCAGTTACTTTTCCTTCACCTGAGTAGCAGGACTTCCTCTGAAGGGTGGAGATCTATTTATTTTGGTCTGTGTTATGATTAGCTTGGACACCAAATAAAACAATTATTTTGGTCTGCAATGCCCCATAAATAATAACGATGTGAGTGACAGCACTGTGTCCAAAATAGTCATTATTTAGGAGGTTTTTCTAAGCTTTATTTTTCAATAACATTGAGCATTCTGGGCTGGAAATTGATTTGGTGATGAATTTTCTTAGCAGTTAGCATTGGCCTTCACCAGTTGCCGCCCCCTCCCCTGTTTACGGTTAGTAAAGGTAATATTTTGGTTAGAAACATGGGTTAGTGAAGCTAACTTTATGGGTAGCTGTGCCAATCAGTGCCTAATCCAACTAAGGTCTAGCGCAGGGGTCGGCAACCCGCGGCTCTTTCATCCTTGTACTCTGAGTGGCTTGGGAAAATAAATTACTAAAAAAAAAAAACAACTAAGTATTTAATTGACAGATGAAAGCTCACAGTCCTGCGTAAAGATGAGAGTGGCTTTGTACAGCCCCGATTTGCAGACGCTGTGTGCAGAGGTTCAGGAGCAGAAGTCCCATTAACCGGGTTAAATAAATATTTATGCAGATATTCTGCAAATATTTATTTTTCATTGTTTAGTGACACAGTTCTTTTTTCCCCAATTTATTTTTGAAATTCAGGTCAAGGCTCCGCAACATGCTCTGAAAGCCCAATAATATAAGGATGACAGCTCACGGCATTCTTTTGCTTTTGTTTGCTACACGGATAATTTAAGTTCAGCTTTTTAATATATTTGAAAGAGACATTCAGACATTGTATTATTTTTTCAAGAATTCAAAATGTTCAAAATGTGTTCATTAGATCAAATTTTATTTTCTCTGTAGCACTTTGTGGATTTCATAATCAACACACTTTAGTTGTTTATATAATGTGTAAAGGTAAGAAAAAGCAATATATACAGTGTTATCTTCATTTTAGATAAGATGATAGCCCACCTTCAAAAGGTAGTCAAAGCACTAATGAGTGTTCTGTACGGCTGGGGTGAACCCCGAAGAATGAAAGGGAAGTTGTTTTTTTTTAAATATTTTTTCTTTCTATTTAATAAATGCATTCATAAATAAATTCATTTTAGATGTCATAAAGTATTTGCGGCTCCCAGTGTTTTCTTATCCATGGAAACCGGATCAAATGGCTCTTTCAGTGTTGCCGACCCCTGGTCTAGTGAGTTAAACTCGATGTTTTTGTTAACAATATATGCTCATCTGATCATTATGATGTTATTTCACAAATAAAGAGGAAATATTTCAGTCTCTACATTAGAGATCCTGATAGGGATATGCCTTAAAATAAACTGCAGCTATAACTTCAACAAAAATAGTTTCTACAGAATATGAACTCAGGGGGGGCTCCATAGAAATGCTCTAAACTCTTCAGATTTGTCTTAGAAAATAAGTCTTCTGTAAAAACAATCAAGTAAATTGCAATCAAATTCACTACATTTCAAGGAATATAAATACTTCTGTAAGGCACTGCCTGCTATTTTGTTTCATGGTATAATAGTTATATGATCTGAACAAAGATGCAGCGTTTACACAATGTGGTTCTACTGCAAAGGGCGCATCTTCTGCAACAGCTGCCTGAAGTGTACATTCAGTTATATAAAAAGGTAAATTTTTAACTAGTGTGAAAACAGAAATACATGTCAAGGTGTTAGCATTAAGAGATAATTATGCGACAGGAGTCACCAAAAAGAAAAAACAAACAGGAACCCGGATCACACTCAGACGATCGCTCTACTGAAACCCCCTCAGGCCCTGAGATGGAAACTTAAATAAGGACAGTGAGTTTTGTGACACGTTTAAAGCAACAGATGAACACCAAACCCAGAAAGTAAACACCGTGTGGCACGAGGACAGACAGATGCAGGGACAGACCTGTGACAGGAGCAATGAATGGGAAAAAAGAAGAGAAAAAGCTCTGCATTCAAACAGAAACAAAAAAAAAATAAAATTAATCAGCTCAGATGTTGGGAGGGGTTTTTATACCCTAATATTTCAAAGGCATTTAGTGCAAAACAGTATTTTAATTTTTGATTATCAGTTACTGCCATTATGCTTCTGCGCACAAAAACACAACAGCAGTAACTTCTTCATTCATCAGCATCCTTAGTTCAGTATATGATGTTTATGCTTTCTTAACTACAGCTGCATCTGAGTTATTAATGTTTGACTGCTGGTCAAACATGCAAACATCCCCACAGTGAAATCTGGTAGTGGCAGTATCATGCTGTGGGGGTGCTTTTCTTCAGCTGGGACAGGAAACGGTTACTTTTAATAAGACGGATGGAGCTACATTCACACAGCATGTCTGGAATTCTGATTTTATTCTGAAATCCATTTTTTTTTTTTTTGCTGTTAGCACGTCTATAATAACTAGACATGGATCAGCACCTTCAAATCCAAGGTGGTTCTCCACCAGAGAAAGGTGGATCCCCCTCTTCAGGTCGGTGGAGAGTCCAAGTATCACGGGGTCTTTTTAAGGAGTGAGGGACGGATGATTGAGAGACGGATCGGTGGAGCGTCGGCAGTGATGCAGTCGCTGTGCTGGACTGTCATGGTGAAGAAGGAGCAGAGTCGGGGGGCAAAACTCTTGATTTATTAATCAATCTACTTTCCCACTCTAACCTATGTTCATGAGATCTTGATAATGACAGAAAGGACGACATCGCGAATACAAGCTGCTAAAATGAGTTTCCTTCGCAGGGTGGCTGGGCGCACCCTTCGGGATACGGTGAGGAGCCGACACACCCAGGAGGAGTAACTGCAAGCAAGGTGACTCAGGCTTCTCTTCTGGATGCCTCCTGGTCGCCTCCAGCAGGAGGCGTTCCAGGCAGGTCCTTTGGAAGGGAGGGACTATTACCCCATTTCCACTACCCTTGAAAAACCGATCCATGCAGAGACCGGTCCGAGCTCGGATCAGTTAACCAGGCCGAACTCGGTTCTGACGACCGTTTACACATCACGCTATCTTGGTTCTTTGATTCCTCGCCTCCTAGTGACGATCTGCGGTATTACTGCCAGTATTGAAGGAGGAAATCAAGCCGTTGGTGGCAGTAATGCACCAAAAGTTGTTTACCAACCGCCATAAAACACAAGAGGAAGAAGACGAAGAAAGAGGGAATCAAGCAAATCAAAATGTTGCGTGGAGAAGATTTCGATTGTTGTTTATAGTTGTTCTTCTTCTTCTGTTTTGTGTTGGTTGGCAAGCAACTTCCGGAGGGGCATTACCGCCAACTACTGGAATGGAGTGTGAATGGGGATGTGCAGCCAGACGGAGATGACGCGTTCTGCTCATGCGCTCTTGTTATCAGAGAACCGAGCCAGGGAAAAACCGAGCCGAGCCCACCTCTGGAACTGGTCTGCAGTTAGCTCGGTCCGGTTGTGTCCGGTTATTACACACGATAAGGGTAGTTTAAATGGGGTATACGTCTCTGAGTTGGCCTGGTGTCACCTTAGGTCCCCCCAGAGCAGCTGGCGGAGGTGCGGGTGGATCAGGAAGTCTGAGCATCTCTGTTTAGACTGCTGCCTCGGCAACCCGGCCCCGGAAAAGCGGAAGAAAATGGATGAATGTCTATAATACTACTAATTAAATCCAACAGCTACCAGGCTGGTTTAGGATTGGTTCAGGACACCAAACACAACTTCTGCATGTAGATGAAGAATGTAGACATCACATAGCAGTGCACGGTTTATGGAAGTAATGAGGGATGTGACTGTTACTAAAATCGTTCAATAAAGTTTAGTTGAAAAAATTTTTTTTTAAAAAGGCTGGCAATGATGTAAAAGTCAGACGAAACTGCAGACATTATTGGATATGTTCCTGATTACGTTCCAAATATGGAAATAGCTTTAATCTGATTTTTTCTGGAGTGATGAAAAGATTGGAAATTAGCCATTTGGACTAAAAAAAATAAAAAAATGAAGTCATTTGAGAGTAAAATCTGGGCCAAAAGATCCTATTTGGGTTGAATTTGCTGCTGTGTGAAGGTAGCCTTAGAAGCTACTAAAAACATGAAACTGGAGGATGGAGGAATCACAAAATCCCAATGAGATACAACAGTGGTTGGAAATTGCAAAGTCATTTCATGTTAAGATTTTTAAGGTGGAGGGGGGGGGTGAAACATGTTGCAAAACAAATTTTGAATACCCCCCGAACTTCGATTACAACAATCATGTTATAAATAAGTTTAACAGGCAGATATGAATGTTTTTAAGCAGCTGAACTAAACGGATGAAATAAAACCTCCACAGTACCCCATTAGAACCGATGATGAAACAGACGGTGAACAGGTTCCCCTTTGAAACATCGGTTAACAGACAACCCCAGTGTGACACAAAGTAACGACAGAGCGGTGAAAAATGGAAGAAGGTGGAAGTAATGCATTATACAACGTGTAACGATGCTGTGCCGTGGCATCCTGAAAATGTAATAACTCTTGTCTGTTTTTGTTTTCTTTATTATTGCAGAGTAAATCCAGAGCTTTTGGACACATCTGTTAGTTCATAAGGGGTTTTAATTGTGCCGTACCTGCATGTTGTCTGGATCCTCGCCACGCTGCTGTCCCCTTGGCCCCCTCTGAGGTGATGCAGGAAGAGCTCCACCGAACTGCACCTGAAACGACTAAAACCACAAAAGAATAAATCAACCGTTAAAGATGGAAAATATATTACTAGCAGGGATTGATTTTATAGACAGAGGTAAAGTGTACCTCCATCAGCTGCGTTGACAGTCGAGACATCTGCGCCTTGAGCGCCTCGTTTTCTTGTTGAAGGCTTTCCAGTTCAGTGTTGCTTTGCTCAGCATCACAGCCCTGAAAAGAGTTTAACAGAATAAGGAAACTGCTGCTTTATAAGCAATCTCTAATAAAAACTAAAATATAAAAAAGGGGGAAGATTTTCACCTTTGTTAGCTCGCTTTTAGCACTGAGCTCCTGTTTCAAGGAGGCGTTCTCCTGTTCCAAGGCCCTCAGAAGGGAGGAATGACTTTGTTGTTTCTGTTTGTTCAGGGAGAGGATTGTAGCATCATGTTGACGGATCTAAAGGCCAAAAACCAGACATTAACATTTTTTTCTGTAAAATAAAGATACGTTGATGCAGAGATTTCCAATCATATTTCTGTGGTTGCTCGGTTTGAGCTACCTTTTCTCTGGACTGGACGAGTTCAGCGTTGATGTTGTGTAACTCAGCTTTCAGCCTCTCGTTTTCTTGCCTCAGCAGCTGCTGCTCCTGCTCCATCAGTCTGGAGAGCCCTTCTCTGTACAGCTTCTTGCTCTGACTCTGCAGGCCGCTGGAGTGCAAGGCCATCTCTAAAATATGGTTCTGAGATTAAAACAAAAAGGTCACGCCTTTATCCGGCATCAAGCCTCTGCTTTTGTTAGAGATTCTAGAAGAGAAAAACAAATCTCACTTTATCGCTTGCATTCTGCAGTTGTTTTCGTAGCACAGTAACCTCATGCTTCAGGGAATCCCTCTCCTGCTGCAAAACCTGGACGTCAAACTTCAGGCGACTGTTCTGTCGGTTTACGACTTTGACGCTTTCATCTGCAGATTTCAACTGGAGTGGGGGGGGGAAGAAAATTAGATTAGATGTAAAACACGTTGTTAAGGATTTAAACTTTCCAAAACTAGACAAAACTTTGTTGCAATTTAGAAAAAAACACTAGGTGATCTGTCCAAACTTAGTTTTTCATCAGGTAATAATTCTGGATGTTCTACTTCCTTCAAACTCCTACCTGCTCTTGAGTTTTAGCTAGCTGGTTGCGCAGACCTGCGCTCTCCTTATCCGCAATCCTCCACTCCTCCTCCAGGTGGCCGAGCTGATTCTCCACAGATTCAACACAGACCGCCTGTGATGAAAGAAGTGAAGCGGTTTCCTTAGCAACGCTGCCATGACATCTTTACCTTGAAGTTCATTCGATTCTTTCACACATAAAAACACTTACAGAAAGTGTTCATGTCTCAATATGTTCTAATACAGCTCAGGATATTTTATAAAAAATAATAAATACTTGGTAATAAATACCTGAAAAGTGCGTTGTGCATTTGTATTTCCTCTACCTCCGTAAATGATTAATTCAAGTTCTTACCCTAATTCTGCAGATAAGAAAACTGCAGGTCTTTTGTGTCAAACAGCTTTATTTGTTTACAGGTGACATCTTTGTTTATTCTTAGAAAAAATAGCTCAAGCTCAGGCAGGTTGAATGGAGAACATCTGAGGGACAATTAATGGTTAGTTCTTAATGAATTTGTTCTGAACTTTGAAGGATCAATTTCTAACTCCTGAAGAAGAGCATAATGCTGCGACTAACAATTTTGTGACGTTGCTGCATAAAATTAATTTGCTGGAACAAAACAAAAAAGGTTTTAGATATAGGCCTAAAACAGTCTCAGCTAATCAGAGCAGCTTCCTTCTGAGGCTTGTTGGAACCAGTGGTTGTGGTTCTTTGAAGCTCCTCCAAAGTAGCTTGGGTGTTTCATTGATTAGGAGGGCTGCCGTGTCTTGGTAGGTTTGCATTAAAGCTCAGCAAGGCGTTTTAAACCTTGTTTATTAACGGAACCCCTTCGTTAAGCCTCTCCACTAATTTACCTCTGATGTGTCCCATGGTCTTTAACGCTTTTCATTTACAGATATCCTCCAACAAGCTCTTTAAAGACCAAAAGGATTTATGAAAATATGAAGAAAAAAAGAAAAACAAATAGGTGGTTCCAGCTTTTATCCATAGATCTACAATTTAGACCATTTCTAAAAGTAAATGGGTTCAACAGGATTCTATTTTAGGAATAGCAAAGTAAGAAGCGGTGAAAATGGAAACCATTCTCAGATTTTCATAGATCAAAAAAATTGGAAATTATTCATGATTTTCCTTTGATCATATGAAGCAGATTGCATGAAATCTCAGTGACACAGTTTGCAGTTTAAAGCATGTATGTTCTGCCTGAATTCTTCTAGAGCTGATTGCTGGACTCCAGATGATGCTGCTCACCTCCTCCTTGAGGTCAGAGAGCTGTTGTGAGAGCTGGCCATTTCTCTTCGTCAGCTGGGCACAGTCCTCCACAGCTTTCCTTAAATCTGCCTCCATAGCAGAGACACAGGCTGCCATCTAACACAAAACAACCACCAATCAACTACCAGCTACTGACAGCAGGACTGCTCTGCTGTTGATCAACTCTTACCTTGTTTTTCTCTTCAGAGTAGAACGCCTCCCTCTTTTTATTTTCCTTGATCAGCTCTGCCAGTTGCTCTCGTAGACCCTCGATGTCAGCAACACTTTGAGCATTTTTCTCTGTTAGAGTCCCTTTGTCATCTTCCAGTTGTTGGCTCTGTAACTGCAACTCTGAAATCTGGAGATAAAATAAACCTTTAATACTAGAAAACTAGAAAATTGCCAGAGCTGTTGACTTGATTTTGCAGGGGATTTAATTGCCTGTTTGTTGAAAATGTCAGCTGCTTGTTGAGCTGCAGACTTCTCTTTTTCCAAATGCTCCAAAGTTTTTCTGCAATGAGAGAAATTAAACTTTAGGCTAAAAAATCAAAAACAAGGTGATGACCTGCAGGTAATGTTAGACTTGATTTCTAAAACAACCAAGCTCAGCATCTCAAGAGGGATCCCTCAGGGCTCTGTATTAAGATTTCTTTTATTTATTTTATAAATCATTTTGGTCAGATGTAAAAAAAAAAACAAGTTGTTTCCCATCACATAAGTGGCTGGTTCTTATTGCTAAAATTAAATAAAATAAAAAAAAAATAATTTCTTGCATTTCGAATTAATTAATGAATATGAATTAAAATCAACTTCCTTTTCTGGTTGCATATCTTTCTTTCATGATTACTGACCAAGTTTTTCATGGGACATGAAAACCTATTATCTACCTTATACTCCCCCCCCCTTTTAACTAGGTTTAATTTCATTCTTTTGCAAATCACTTATTCATTGCTTCACATCCAGTGGATCCAACTTCCTAAATGTGACCTAAACAGAGCAACTAAAACTACATTTTCATTATTACGAATGAACAGAAGCCTTTTAAATGCATGTTAAAGTCAGCGGAGACAGCACAGTGATTTGATCATTAGGCATCATTTTCTCTGACCATGAGTAGCCCTCTTAGTTATTAGATGTTTCTGTTTTGGACAATCATCACAACGTCTGACTGATTATGAAATTAAAACTATTTTTCTAAATCTTTTCATTTGAGCCTATAATTCTTGGGCATTTTATGTTTTCCATCTAAAAAAAAACATAAATATGTTGCCTGGAAGTTAGCAAGGAATCTGAATAAATACAAAATAAAATCCTATTATAAGCCTGTAGTTATAAAACGGGAGCTCGTCTGAGTAACTCCCTTATAATCACATTTAAACTTGATGAATTTGGAAAACTATACAGAAGAGAAATTATAGTCAGACTGATGATTTAATGAATTTTACTTTTGTTTTTATGAAGACACCTGAGCTGCTTTGCTGAGCTCTGTTAGCTCAGTGTGAAAAACAGCTGATATCATCCAGTCTGTTCATCTGCTTGGTTTGGATGTATCAAAGCTGAGGATGAATTTAAACATAAGAAAAACTACATTTTTGGTTGATAAAAGCTTGTTTAGTTTTTAAGTTGGGTCCTCAGAAAGTAAAACAGATCCCAGCCCTATTTTGTTTTATTACCCAAGAAATAAAATATTTTCATGTAGCCCTTGCAATACACCCTTGGACCACTAGGGGTAAGAGACTAGAGGCAGGGCAGCTTTGCACATTATTGTGCTGGAATTTAGCTCCCTGCAGCACAATGAGCAAATGTAGATCTGAATCAATGATCTTTTATTAATCAGATATTGTATAATTGAACACTTTCCAAAGGATTGCCTCGACATATATTCCAGTTCTTCTTAGTGACTTAGAGATCTCAATAGTCTGCCTTCCATGCCATATTTTCTGGTTATCAGTAAAAGTATGTTATGTTGATCTTTACAGGTTCCTGCTACCAGATTTACCAAAACAACTTTTTAAATTATTGGCAAATAAGACTCACAAATTATATGAGGAATTTGTTTCTATGATTCTTTTTAAGCCTTTGCTTTCTTTGATTATGAAGCGTTTGTGTTTCTCACATCAACTCGTCCTTGGCCTCCTTTAGGTCCCCTTCCTTTAGAGCAGAGATGTTTTTTTGCAGTGAGATGTTTTCCTTGGCAAGTCGAGCAGCTTCGGATCTAAAAAGAGATGGGAGTAAATTAAAAAGTCTTTCTACGATACATTAATGAAACCAACTCTAATACTCAGCATGGTGCTTTTGAGGGATGAAAGCAGCTAAGCTCAGGTGATCTTAGGCTCTTTACATGGAGGAAAATCACAGACGGCAACAAGCTCTCTAGGTCGTGACTGGGAACAAAAGGAAAAGTGTGTCTAACATCTGCCCACTAATGGGACGGGGTTAGCAGACGCCACTCGGGATCCTAGCTTTTCACTTTACCTATGAGCCTGAGTGGTTTGGTTAATTATCTGCGACTTGTCTCGGAGCTCTGTGATGGCTCTGCGAAGTTTGCCATTCTCCTCTTCAAATTCCCTGCAACATTCCTGGACACCAACTTCCACGGATTCCTCCGCCAGCCGATCGCAGTGCAGAGAAGTCTCCTCCATGGGTCTTTCTGTTCGTTCACCGTCAGAGGTCGAGTCTGAAAGCTCGTCCTGCTTCTCCACTTCATTCAGCAGGTGAAAGAGCTCAGAGTTTTCTGCTCTCATCCGGCTGATCTCGTCCACCAGTGAAGCGTGCCGATCTCTAAAGTCGTGGAAAATGTCAAGCCTACCCTCGAGGCTCCAAACCCTATTTTCCAGCGCATCGTTTTGGTCCCTCAGTTTGGCGTTTTCACACATGCAGTCTTCATACCTGATCTGCAGATCCACCATTTTTAGGCTCTTCGCCTGCAGCTCTTTTACCTGCTCCACTAACAGCAGCGTTTGGACTTTGAGCTTGTAGTTTTCGTCCAAAGCCTGACGAGCAGCGTTGAACTTTTCTCTGTGGTGTTCCAACAAACTTTCTAGAATTTCAGTTTTCTGCTTAAGCAAGGAGATCTTCTCGTGAAGCAGGACATTCTCCTCTGTGGCAGTGTTATATAACGCCTGTAATTTCAGAGTAGCAAACTCTTGATTCTCTTCATCAACAGTTTCAAAACTATTCTGTGCAGATTTCTCCTGGTGTTTGTGCTCACAATCGAGAAGTAGGTCACTTTCCTGTTGGTTGCTAAACCCATTTAGTAAACAATTAAACTGAGCATCCTCCAGCGAGAGCTCAGGGTCACCTGCTGTCTCCTGCAGCGTTAAAACCCCAACCACAGTCTCATGATGCTGTTGATCTGCATGCAAACAGCTTCCGCAGTCCTCTTGTGGTTTGGTCTCCTGGTTGCAGGACTCAGCAGCTACTTTATTTTTACCGTCAGTAAACGCCTGAAGCAGGAAGACGTCCTCACCCCGAACCTCACGGGAAACGACGACTTTGTTGTTTTCGACATATAAATACCCGGCGTCAGGTGATCGTGAGTCCGGATCACTTCGCTCAGGGCTTCGCTGTCCAGGGTTCTGATCAGGAGGAACAGCAGCAGCATCATCTTCACACCCATCACTGAAAACACCAGAGCTTTCAAGCTGTATGTCCTGATTTTCTGACACTTCTTGTTCATCCATCTCAATGGTAGCAGAGTCAGAGTCAACATCGTCCTCATCTGTACTTTCTAAAACATCTTCATCCGGATCAGACAGAGCATGGCAGGATTCACCATCTTTCTCCTCTATATATGCACTGATATGGTTTGACTCTTTCCAGTTTTTTCCATTTAAAGCAGATAAAAGCTCTTCCTGCTCCACCTGCAGCTCCTTTATCTTGATTTTAAGAACATCTCTTTCTGCTCTGAGTGCCTCCACATCAACTTCCTGTGTCTCTCTCAATTTTTCCTCGAGAACCACCAGATTCTCCAGTATTTCCTTCCTCTCAAGCTCAAAGTCCAACGCTGCTTGTTTGAGAAGCGTCTCCAACTCTTCAACTTTAACCTGTAAATCGTCTCGCTCTGTCAGCAGATGAATCCTCTCTGCTACCTGCCTCTCTGAAAGGGAAATAAACTCGGTGCATTTTGCCTGCAGTTCAGAAATGTTTCCGAGGAGTTCTGCCCTCTCCTGCTTAAAATCTTCCACCGTTTGATTCAGCAGCAGCTCCGTCTGAACTAATCTGTCCTCCGCCTGTGAGAGGAGCTGATGTTTCTCCTGCAGGCGGCTGTGGAGCTCGTTCAGCTGCATGCTGAGCTCTATTTCCTTACTCTGAGCCCTGCTTGTACCTTCCTCTAGTTCATTTAGGAGCTGCCTGTTCTCAATCTTTAGCATATTCATTTCTTCACTGTGAATATTTTCAAGCTCCTGTCGCTCATTCTCCCACTCCTGATCACATCTATCTCTTTCCTGCTCTACAGCTTCCTCTACTGCTTTTCTTTGGTCTTCTGTAGCATCCAGAACTTTTTGCATCTCCTTTTCCCAGAGTAGCTGTTGATCAGCATGGCTTTTGGAAAGGGTCTTCAGCTCACTTTGGTAACGCTCTTCAAGTTTGTAGATCTGAGCTTGAAAACGCTCTTCTGTAGATTCCTGATCACATGAGAAACGATCTTCTATGTCTCTGATTCTCTGGGTGAAGCTGATCTCAACTGCCTCCCTGTATATAGTCAATCAACGTTTGTTACAGAAGCAACATAAAACCTTTGTTATGTCTATTTCTAGACAGAAATGTTTTTTAAAAGACATTCAAATACTCCTGCTGTTCTTATTTTCATATTTTGCCACATTAATACTGCAAACTTGAATGTACACTACCGTTCAAAAGTTTAGGGTCACATTGAAATGTCCTTATTTTTAAAGGCAAAGCACTGTACTTTTCAATGAAGATAACTTTAAACTAGTCTTAACTTTAAAGAAATACACTCTATACATTGCTAATGTGGTAAATGACTATTCTAGCTGCAAATGTCTGGTTTTTGGTGCAATATCTACATAGATGTATAGAGGCCCATTTCCAGCAACTATCACTCCAGTGTTCTAATGGTACAATGTGTTTGCTCATTGGCTCAGAAGGCTAATTGATGATTAGAAAACATTTGTGCAATCATGTTCACACATCTGAAAACAGTTTAGCTCATTACAGAAGCTACAAAACTGACCTTCCTTTGAGCAGATTGAGTTTCTGGAGCATCACATTTGTGGGGTCAATTAAACGCTCAAAATGGCCAGAAAAAGAGAACTTTCATCTGAAACTCAACAGTCTATTCTTGTTCTTAGAAATTAAGGCTATTCCATGTGAGAAATTGCTAAGAAATTGAAGATTTCCTACAACGGTACTCCCTTCAGAGGACAGCACAAACAGGCTCTAACCAGAGTAGAAAAAGAAGTGGGAGGCCGCGTTGCACAACTGAGCAAGAAGATAAGTACATTAGAGTCTCTAGTTTGAGAAACAGACGCCTCACAGGTCCCCAACTAGCATCTTCATTAAATAGTACCCGCAAAACACCAGTGTCAACATCTACAGTGAAGAGGCGGCTGCAGGATTCTGGGCTTCAGGGCAGAGTGGCAAAGAAAAAGCCATATCTGAGACTGGCCAATAAAAGAAAAAGATTAAGATGGGCAAAAGAACACAGACATTGGACAGAGGAAGACTGGGAAAAAAGTGTTGTGGACGGATGAATCCAAGTTTGAGGTGTTTGGATCACAAAGAAGAACGTTTGTGAGACGCAGAACAAATGAAAAGATGCTGGAAGAATGCCTGACGCCATCTGTTAAGCACGGTGGAGGTAATGTGATGGTCTGGGGTTGCTTTGGTGCTGGTAAGGTGGGAGATTTGTACAGGGTAAAAGGGATTCTGAATAAGGAAGGCTATCACTCCATTTTGCAACGCCATGCCATACCCAGTGGACAGCGCTTGATTGGAGCCAATTTCATCCTACAACAGGACAATGACCCTAAACACACCTCCAAATTGTGCAGAACTATTTAGAGCAGAAGCAGGCAGCTGGTATTCTATGGGTAATGGAGTGGCCAGCGCAGTCACCAGATCTGAACCCATTGAGCTGTTGTGGGAGCAGCTTGACCGTATGGGACGCAAGAAGTGCCCATCCAACCAATCCAACTTGTGGGAGCTGCTTCTGGAAGCGTGGGGGGGAATTTCTCCAGATTACCTCAACAAATTAACAGCTAGAATGCCAAAGGTCTGCAATGCTGGAATTGCTGCAAATGGAGGATTCTTTGACGAAAGCAAAGTTTGATGTAAAAAAAATCTTATTTCAAATACAAATCATTATTACTAACGTTTTTAATGTCTTGACTCTATTTTCAATTCATTTCATAATGCGTGGTGGTGAATAAGTGTGACTTTTCAGGAAAACACAAAATTGTTTGGCTGACCCCAAACCTTTGAACGGTAGTGTACATCAAATCTTAAAGATATTTCCTGCTTTTCTATCAAGCAACTTTTTGTTGGAATCATCCCTCAATTAAATCCACAACAGACTTTAGAAGTTATCCGTTTCCTAAACTCCTAAAATTTAGTAAAAAAATAAAGATAAATAAACAAAAAGACTTAAGGAGCGCTTGTCAGTCTATCAACTTCATGTCTATTTATTATGGTAAAACAAACTGATACGACCATGAACACACCCAATCAGAATAAAACATGGCGGTGGCAGCATCATGGTGTGGGAAAAGAGAAGCTGGTCAGAGTTAGGATCAGGCCTTTATTGTATTATTATCATGATAAGTTTCTAGTCACGATAAGAATTTTGATTTATTGTCCAAGCGATGAATTAGAAGAAATGATGAACAAAAACTCCATAAACTGGGAGAATCCTCCATATTTTTATTTCCACCATTTTTGAACTTTATCTTTCATTTATCCCATCGGGGCTTTGATACATTTGAAGAATACGATAAAATGCAGTTACTATGATATATTTAGCGATATTAACAGACTTGCGTCCAATTGTATTACTTGTGGCGGTTATGACTGCTGTGGTAAGCAGCCATAGAGGTACCTGGGAAAGACTTCCAAGAAAAAAAATTCTTTTTTTGTTTGTTTTTTTACTGTTACTTTTATCGGTATGATCTTATGCACTTAAAACCTTACGGCGATATTGGGTGATAACGGCCAGCAATGGTCAGAGTTGATGAGAAGATGGGTGGAGTTAAATTCAGGCCCGTCCTGAACAAAGAGATGCTGTTAAAGATCAATCTGAAGCTAAAAGTCACTTTACAGAAGGACGACCCTAAACACAGAACCAGAACTGAAACAGAAGTGTTTAGATCAAATAGTTGTGGACTATTAGAGATGTCCCGATCCAGGTTTTTGCACTTCCGATCCGATACCGATATTGTTTTTGGACTTCCGATCCGATACCGATACTGGCCGATACCAGCCTATCCGAGCATGTATTTAAGTTTAAGTTAAAGTATTTAGCCTTAGTTGTAAGACTCATGTTGAAAAGGGTTTTAGTACTCTTGATAACATCTAGCCAGCTAAAACTTACCTGTTTATTAAGAGATAAACACAAACTGGACAAAATAATGAATAGCAATCTGAAATTGCACAGTGAACAGTAAAACCGTAAACAGCTAAAGGTGCAAGTATTACTGTAAGTTTTAATAAAAATGCAAAACAGGGAAACACTGGCGCAAAATAGTGGAATGGATCGTTTCAATCGGCGAAACTGGAAAATACGGACCGGATTTTTTAAAAAAAACACTGGATCGGCAGTCTGGATCGGCATTTTACATGCTTTGCCGATACGCATCCGATCCACGTATCGGATCGGGACAAGCCTATGGACTATACCTTATTATTATTATATAGCAACATCATTCTATTAAAGTACTATGATCAAACACATTTCTGATATTTCGTTATACATTTTGGTCTTTGTCTCAGACTGACGATCCAGGTCTTATGTACTTTTAGGTGTTCTTATGTAGCAAAATAACTAAATAAGTTTGTACGGGATTCAGTTGAGGAATTTCTAATGCTTTTATTTTGTTTATATCAATAGTGATATAATGTATTGGCTGAAATGAAGTAATGCAATTAAAGATCGGTAGTGAAATCTAAAGTTGACTTTCCGAGAACTTCTCCGTCTCGAATAAGCTATTCTGCAAAGAAATAATGGTATAGAAACAGCTCAGAATGCTGTTTATTTAATAAAGTCAAGGGGATCTATTAGATAAATATGAAACATTTATTTTTATAAAGGAAATAGAGTATATAAAACAACTGACTGATTCATTACTTTGTTGGTTTATCTGAGGAAACTGCTTAAATCAATTCAAATCCCAGTTTTAATGTGACAAAGAATAAAACATTTTTCAAGCCACAATCAATCCTAAATAATAAAGTTGACTTAATGAACAAATGACGCCCGACTTGGACCGTGAACTCTCACCTTTCCTTACTGATGTCCCCTCTCAGATTGTCCAACATGGCGCTGAGTGCGTTCCTCTCCTCTGCATGCTTGTTGATGAGCTCCTTCATGGCCGCTGCGTGGCTCTCCTCTAGACGAGCCCTCTCCTCTGCTATCAGCTCCTTCATCCTCCTCTCTTCCTCTTCTCTCTCAGTCTGGATTTTTCCTCTTTCCTCCGTCAGCCTGTTTTGGATCAACCTTTCATAGTCCTCTTCCGTTTGAAGTTTCTCCCTCTCCCACTCTTCTCTTAGTTCTCTCTCCCTTTGCTCAAACTGCTCCTGCAGCTGCAGCCTTTCCTGATGAACTTTTTCCAGGAGGACCTTCTCATGACGCTCCTGAAGCAGAGCTCGTTGGCTCTCCCACTGCTCCCACAGTTTCTTCTCCTTCTCCTCTTGCTCCCTGACTAGTCTCAGCGTCTCTTCCTCAAGCAGAACCTGCAGAGTTGTCTTGTGCTGCTCATCTCGCCGTGCGCTTTCCTTCTGCCACTCTTCTGTTAATGTGTTCACCCTTTCATCACGCTCCTTCTCAAACACCAGCTTGGCCTCCTCTAAATGGACTTTAAGTTTGTTCTGGTGGCTTTCTTCCAGGGCATTCTTCTCTCTTTCCCAGTCATCTAATAACCTTTGCTCCAACTCCTCCTTTTCTCTCTGCAGCTTCTGTCTCTCCTCTGACAGTCGTGCTTCTAGCAGCTGACCTTGTTCCTCCTTTAGTTTCAGAATCTCTGAAGCATGTTGGTTCCTCAGCTCTTCCATCCTGGAGAGAAGGTTTTCATCCATCTCTGCTTGCTGGCTTTCCAGAGAATTCAACTGGTCCTCCAGATCAGCAATCTGAGTATGTGCTTCTAGCAGCTGCTGTCTGAGATTTCCAGCCTCATCGTCTTCCTGGTTCTGGAGTTCTTCCTTCTCACTGGCCTGCTTTAGCTCCAGGTGAGCCCGTTCCAGCTCTGCCTGCTGGAGCTGGTTCTGAAGCTGCTGAGCATGGCTCTGAGCGCTGACCAGCTCCTCCTTCAAAGCCTGGGCCTCCTGCTGGAACTGGAGGACCAGGGCAGCTTTCTGGTTTTCATTGCTCATCCTGTGTTCTTCCACCATTTTCTCAAATTCACTGATCTGAAAGACAAAAGAGAAACAAAACATTAGGCTTGAAACTAGGGATGCACGATATTGGGATTTTGGCCGATATCCGATATTTTAAAACTCATGTAGCCGATAACCGATATCGATACCGATGTTAAAGCTGGAAAAAAATAAGTAGTCATTGAAAATAGCAGTTTTGTTATCCATTTCTGACACTTTGAAAAATAATATACTCAAATACATTTACATATATTTTCA